CATAAACATAAAACCATGTCTGCATTTGTGATCGGAGAAACGACAAACAACAAGCGCTACTCTACACTGCTCAAAACTCACGTTTGAATCATCATTGGCAAATTCTTTAAATATGAAAACATACTTATAGGTTGCGAGTCAGAATTGTAGGTTCAAGAAACAGTCCTCCATAAAATGTGCTGCACACATCTGAATATTTGGTTTGAACTGTTCTGGAACAGTGTTGTAAATACAACTTAACCACTGATTTCTAGTCGTGTCCTCTTTTGGAAGGCCAAACAAAGTAGGTTCGCTTTCACAACGAAACACACAGCACCTTCACGACATGACGACGGCGGCAACAATACTACAGCGAGAATAAAAGTTACGCCTTCTTTCTTTGCCTGAACATTTGGGCGGCGTTATGCAAATCTTCCCACATCGTGACGTAGACATGTGGGAGGTTTGAGACTTTAGTCTTTGCAACTTTAGGGATCTTATCTATGCACAAACAGCTTGTAACACTCCAAAGAGAAAGGAAAACTTGAAATCGCATCATATGACCCCTTTAAATATTACTCAAATTTTAATATTGTAATCTTTTGAATAGGAATAGACGGTTCATAATGTACCAATACCAGTTGTCATCCCACAGATGCCAGAAGAGCACAATATCTGCTCATATTGCTCCTGTAACTTCATAAATGTTTTGTATGTTGTAATGAACTCACCATTAAATTAAATTATTTAATTAGAGTATTCTTCTGTTATCTTATTTAATGTCCGTTCATTTAATGAGTTGATTCCTAAATGAACAATTTATCTGATCTAATCATCTATGGGTTGCATATATACGTGCATACACCTTTTTTCTACAGGACATACATTTTCTAGTTACACTTCCAAGTCTTACCTCTGCATGAACTCCAAAGTTGCACCAAGTTCCACTGGATAGCTTATGTTGAGGCAGTAGTAGACCACAAACATTAGAAGGGCATCACCACAATTTGTGACACCATCTTTCACAATGGTCTGGTCTACAGCAATCATAAAGCATCCAGCTGTCAGGGGAGAACTCCCTACAGTACACACACACACAAAAAAGGAAAAAACAAAAACATTAAGTTACAATAATAATAATATCATGACTGTTAAAGGACCACAATGTTTGGCTTGCATGTCATTCAGTATGGCACAAGTGTAACCCCAGTTTTCTGAAGCAATACAATCACTATAAAAATGCAGTTATAACAATCGAACTCTCATACGTATACAATACAAGGCTTTAAAGTCAAGGCTGTAAAGTCATTTTTATGTATGGATGTACACTAATATAGGTTATAATTTGATACTATGACCATTAATAATCGATCTACTTGTCATATAAAGTGCCCACATTTGTTCAGAAGCCTTGGATTAAACAACATGAGCAATGTGGATTGCACTGATGATAGAGCGTCAACTTGTTGGTTACCATTCACCTTCATTGTATGGACATAAACAGCTGACAACTTTCGTTAAACCTTCAGCTAGATATATGTAAGGGTTTACTAGAATCCCCAGCAAGCCCCTGATCGAATATGCCTGTTCATCAATTAAAACATGCCTTTTGCTTAAATGGGTGAAAATAATAATCATGCCACACACAACGATGCAAGGTGTGCTGGGCAGTTGGTCAACTTCAGATGGCAGGCTCGTCTCATCAACCATCAGGAACATCTTGGCCTGTTCTTCATTGAAATATTTCAGAAGCAGCATCCCGCATCCGGGAAGATCAGCATCTAGATGCTTTGCTTTGGCAATTTCCATGCCTGCTAAGATGTCCTCGATTTTGCTCTTCTTCTCATGGGACATGAGGTATGAAATGACTCTTTTACATTTACTTGAAACAGCTTCTCTGTCAACATCCATACCTGTTAGCTCTTTGAAGTTAACCATTATCCCGCACATCTCGAAGATATGTCAACAGATGGCCACTCTTCTACCAGAACAGGGGTTTCCATTCCACTTATTATGTTGCTTCTCTGAGTGCAGAAAGTTGCCAACATTTTATTTTCAATACTTTTGGTGTTCTTGCTTTTGATTTTGTGCATGTTCTTTAATTCTACTTGTGTACATTTCTGAGTTTCCTCAGTTTCATCTGGTGTCAACCGCTTTGGTTGCCAATTTATACAGCCATAGGTATCCACTCTTATCATCTTGGAAGGTCGGTCTTCTCCCTCACTTGCTCTGGATGTCTGTCTTTTCAGGTAAAGTGAGATTTTCCCCCTTTTCATGTTGTCAAGTCTACTCTGCAGCTGTTTGGTAAGGGAGTCATAACCACTACCTACAACTTGATCTTCAATAACATCTCTGAATGATAGATGGTCAGGATCTCCCCTACCATCAGCCGAATCAGTTCACGTCTTTCTCGTCCGGATGGCCGCTCTTTGTTTTTCAGCTTTCTAGTAATTTCTGATGGCATTTTACTCCAGGGTATCTCAAAATTGAAATGCCAGTTGTTGTCCAGTGGAGTGTGTCTATGAGAAGTTGAGACTTCACTTGAGCTTGAGGTAGGCGGAGGAGAGTTAGAATTATCTGCACTGTATTCACCTGGAGACAGCACAAAAAGTATTTAAAAATACTTCATAAAATTTTAGCATTCACTAATATTCATGGAAGATTACTCCATGTAAGCTTCAGATATACCCGATGTACCTCTTATGCCCATACATTTCTATTGTTTAATTCACAAAGGATTAGTTCACTTCCTGAACAAAAATGTACAGATAATTTACTCACCCTCATGTCATCCAAGATGTTCATATCTTTCTTTCTTCAGTCGTAAAGAAATTATGTTTTTTGAGGAAAACATTCCAGGATTTTTCTCTATATAGTGGACTTCAATGATGCCCGTGAGTTTGAACTTCCAAAATGCAGTTGAAATGCAGCTTAAATGACCCCAGCCGAGGAAGAAGGGTCTTATCAAGCGAAATTATCGGTTATTTTCAAATTTTTTTTTTTTTTTACAATTTATACACTTTTTAAACCTCAAATGCTCATCTCGTCTAGCTCTGCGATGCGCATGCATACTCGGTGTACTCCGGTTCAAGACAGTTAGGGTATGTCAAAAAACTCCCATCTCATCTTCTCCTCCAACTTTAAAATCTTCCTACATCGCTGCAGAAGTACCGACCTAGTGTTTACAAAGTGAATGTGCAAAGAAGGTCAAAAGCCCTTTACAAAAAAAAAGGTAAAACAGCAATGCAGGACGATTTTGAAGTTGGAGGAGAAAATGAGATGGGAGTTTTTCAACATACCCTAACTGTCTTGAACTGGAGTGCACAGAATGTGCATGCGCATCGCAGAGCTAGACAAGACGAGCATTTGTGGTTCAAAAGTGTATAAATTATTATTTTTATTTTTTTTTTTAGAAAATAACCGATTGTTTCGCTAGATAAGACCCTTCTTCCTCGGCTGGGATCGTTTAGAGCCCTTTGAAGCTGCATTTCAACTGCATTTTGGAAGTTCAAACTCGCGGGCACCATAGAAGTCCACTATATGGAGAAAAATCCTGGAATGTTTTCCTCAAAAAACAATTTCTTTACGACTGAAGAAAGAAAGACATTAACATTTTGGATGACAAGGGGGTGAGTAAATTATTTGTAATTTTTCGTTCTGGAAGTGAACTAATACTTTAAAGGAATCATTTGAAAATATCATGTTTTTTTTTTTTTTTTTAATTCAGACAGAAGATTTAATCACACATACTTGTAGATGAATGCTCTCTGCATGGCGTTACATTCGGCTGAGCTCTGGTAGGCTGATCAGGAATCTCACTAGCATCTTTCTCAGCTGGATAGAAGAGACATAATAGGAATTAGGCTTGCTATCAATTGCTTTGCAAAGCTAAAATAATAGAATTGATCCATTATGTTGTGAGGATATAATATTTTAATGTTTACATACATTTACTTACAATTAAGTATACTTACGTAAAGCTTTAATCTGTGCAATCAATTTTCTAGCTTCAAATGGCCTCAGGACGTTAATAAGATCTGGCTCCTGGACATATTTCAGATCTTCCAGGGTTTCCACACCTAAGGTCTGGATAGTCTCTAACACTAAGTCTTTTGAACTTGAATTTGGCAGCACAGAGCCAATGAAGTCAGCAAGATCACCGTCTACATCATCCATTACTAAGAAAAAAGGGGTCAGACATTATAATTTAGTGTTAGCCCAAACATTCTCCAAAGGCCAATTCAGCCCAACAACAAATGTAATATATTCTTAATTTCTTAGCTTCAGAGGCAGCCATTTCACTATTAGCTCTGAACACTTTTAGCCTGAATTGTGTTTTAGGATGCATCTGCACCTTTGTGAGTGGATGAGGGTTTCTGTTTTGACAACTAATAATAATAATAATAATAATAATAATAATAATAATAATAATAATAATAATAATAATAATAATAATAATAATAATAATAATAATAATAATAATAATAATAATAATAATAATAATAATAATAATAATAATAATAATAATAATAATAATAATAATAATAATAATAATAATAATAATAATAATAATAATAATAATAATAATAATAATAATAATAATAATAATAATAATACAGACATGAACGTAAGTGAGGGAGTTGAAAATGGAATAAAATTTTACACCTCTGCTTTCTGTCAGGGCACCACTTCGTATCTCTTGTACTGCCTCATTGTAGTTTTGCACTGTTCTGGGTGGGGCAACTTTTTGAAAATCAAGGAGCTCACTTCTAGTTGCCAAGCAATATCTACAGAAGTAAGTGGAAGCACTGAAATTCTCTGTGAAACCTCCAATTTGGTGGGACCCTATATTATTAACAATTAAAAATTGTTGCCTTAACAACATGCCCTGAGATGACGAGCCCATTTGCCTTCAGTTCCTTTATATCTGACAGCATTGTGGAGAACACTTTGTCATGGCCAAAATATTTAAAGTGTTCCTCTCTACACAAGAGCACAAGCTGCAAGTTTTCAATGCTGGAATGATAAAATGGGTCAAGGTTGGCCAGTGTAAAGTAAACCCCAAATATCTTGGGTTTTTTTTTCCACTGACCCAAGAGGGTTAACGATCTCGAAGGCATCTTGATATAGTATGAGCTTTATACTTATACCCGACTCCCCAAACAGAGCATTACTCTTGTATACAGAACCATCATTCACATCATTAAAAACATGTGAAGTGTCATCTACAGGCTTTGTACATTCTTGCCACACAATTGGGTCTTTTAGCAAAGCCTGCAAAGTCTCTTTTATTGGGATATACTGAGCAAAATGTTCCTTTCGGTTTTCATCAGTGCCTAAACTAATAGTTTGAGGATGCACATAAGATAAGTTTTTCTGGATGAGAAAATCACAATTTCCTGATTAATCCGGAAAAAATAATTTTTTATCCTTAATGTGACCATTTAGTAGCACATTAGGAGTGACTATTTCCCTCACAACATTTTAGCTTTGTATATCAATTACACTTAATTTACTGACATTACTTTTGAGAACAAAGAATGCTTCCCCTACCAAAATCGTGAGTGTGTTTTTGCTGTAAACCAGAGTCAACATGACTTATTTTAAACCAAACAATTATCTTTTACTAACACTTTCGACCATGTATTGGCCCAATTAATGCGCTTAAGAGTTAATACAGCATATTTCATAGCTGCTAATCTTTAACGAGGCTGCGCAGAAAATACAACACAAGGATAAAGTCCTTAGCAATTAGGATCACATAACGTTAGCAATTTTATTACGTAATCTCAGCAATTAGGTAACGTTAAAACTTAAAGCTAAAACTCAGCTGCAACCTAGCAAACGTAACGTCTGACCTACATTACTTTCCTTGTTTTCGGTCGTCTATTAAAATGTACACTTTGTGAGTTGCATGTTTGAACGTCGATAACTAGTTTTGAGACAAACTTTTGACGTTACCTCGCATTCAATTTTCTAAAATTCAAAACGCAGAAATTCAGATCGTACAGACAGTAGGTCAGAGGTCATTCACGGGGAAGAGTAGATGATCTCCGAAAAGTGGAACAAGGCATTTTGGCCAATTAGAGCTGCAGTAGTTTTCTGGCGCGAGCGTGCGGCTCAGAAGGTCGCAAATGACCTCTGACCTACTTTCTGTACGATCTGAATTTCTGCGTTTTTAATTTTAGAAAATTGAATTTGATGTTCCGAATTTCTTCTTCATCTTGAAAACTTGAAGCTGTATTCAGCTCCATACTCCTGAGTGCACTGCCACCTTGCAGAGTTGTTCTGATGCCTTAAAAATGATTGCTATGCAAATCGTGTTCTGAACAAAGAAGTCTGATATTTCGTTTGCAGTGGTTTTGTTGCTTAATTTTTTTGCAATTAAATTGCATGTGTCGTTTTTTGACTCATTTTACGTTTACTTCATTTTACTTCATTTACAAAATTGTAATGCACACTGTAGGCCTAAGAGACTATAAAATATGGTATTATAATTATTTATTAAGTATCCAGATTTTGGTGTGATACAGATGTACAACTATACTGAAGCATAAAGAATATCCTGTCTACTGATGGGTTTTGAAACTATTACCTAATGTAGTCAAACCAACACTCTGTTCCTTTAAAAGAATTGCATAACACAGAAAATATCAGCACTGCTTTTAAGCAGATATTAACAACTGTCCATGTTATTTTCTACCATTTATAACCATGCATAACAGCCTCACTGAGCACCTTAAAGAAAGTCCAATACTCTGTGGTGTGTTGTCTCATTTACCTTATAGTAGTGTAAAGATAAGCCAAAGAAACAATGTGAAAAAGTATGGTAGACAAAGATGGCTACTAAGAAAAAAGAAAACCTTGTTCTTAGTCAATGGAGCAGTAGTCGTGTCTCATGGATTGGTTACACTTTATTTTGATGGCTCCCTGTTGACTTCACATTGCAAATATCTGTACAGATTAATAAGTGATTATAATTAACTTTCAACTTTGATAGCTCCGTTTTTAACAGATCTCTGATAAGTGACAAGCTAAGTGGTGTCAGAAATTGACACAGCTGTTATTCATGTATTGCAAGAGGCCAGCAGGTTATTAAAAAAAAAAAAGTAACTGTTACTTTTTTTTTAAATTGTCGTTTAAAATCTGTTAAAAAACAGATATATAGTGTATTACATTTATACAGATTTTCTTTGTTAAATCATGTTACACATTTCAATAAACAGTTTATTGTTGTAATTTTAATACATGGTTTCTGTAATAAAAAAACAAACAGGGAAAACACTGTAAAATTTATTGGCAAAAACTGTAAAAAAACAACAACTTTTTAGAGTGTGGAATGAAAGACACTACTGAACGAATTGCTTCTTATTCTTACCCAAAAATACAAAATGGATAAAAAGAGTTAAAACTGAACACAATCTTGCTACTCAAGCTGTGTATGAACATATATATATATATATATATATATACTCCTTTTCCATTCTGCATTTACTTTTACTTTTACTTTCAATACTTAAGTACGTTTAAGATTTAAAAAAATTCTTTTTGTACTTAAGTACAATAAATATCACATACTTTAAGACTTTTACTCAAGTAATATTCTAAACGGTTACTTCAACTTCTACCAAAGTCATTTTCTGGTAAGATATCTGTACTTTTACTTGAGTATGGCTTTCAGGTACTTTATACACCACTGCAGGAGACAGGCAGGAGAAAACACACTCTTTTTGGCATTCAGCCTGAACCCCATCTCTGTCATATTGGCGAGGACGACATCTCGATGCCAAACCGTCATTTGCTCCGACTGGGCTCCGATCAGGCAGTCGTCAATGTAATTCAGTATGTGGAAGTCCTGGAGTCGGAGAGTAGCCAAATTAGCATCCACACACTTGGTGAAAGTGCATGGTGACAGCACTAGATCGAACAGAAGAACCTGGTATTGGTATGCTTCGCTGAAAGCAAGCCTCAGGAACTTCCTGTGTTTGGGAAGGATGGAGACATGAAAGTACGCATCCTTCAAGTCTATGGTGACGAACCAGTAATTGTAATATGTAACATTTAGGGGCAAATAAGGTACAAATATTTACCTTTTAGCTTTTGTGCACTCTCAGAAAAAAAAAAAAAAGTACAAAAGCTGTCACTTAAGGCACCAGTGTGGAACCTTTAGGTACAAAAACATACCTTTTAAACAGGTACTGCCCCAGTGACAGGTTTTGTACTTTTTTTTTTTTTCTGAGAGTGTACCTTAGGATACCACCCCAGTGACAGGTTTGTACCTTTCAGAGTCCGAAGAGTGTTTTTTTGTTGTTGTAGATTTACATTATATTTATGTTTATTCACAGGATATGATCATACTCAGATCTCTAACCTGTGTGGTGGTGTTGTCTGTATTTTGCTGACATTACAGGTCGTCCCAAATTAACTTGTGGAGATGTGCCCTTCTGAGTGTGTAGGGAGCCGGATCAGGCTCTGTGTGAGTCGGACACAGCTGTGCTGTGGAGTATGCTGGTTTGGCAAAGCTCTTCCTTTTCTGGGTGGCACGCAGATGAAGTCATGTAGAGGTAAGAGAGGTGGAATAACACTGGACCGGATCTGTGCAGACGTTATATGAGCTGTACCAGAAGATATTTCACTCCAGACAGTCTCTCAATCTCTCTGTGTGTTTCCCAACAAACACAGGCCATGTGAAAGATGATTATTTCAAAATCCATCTGCTCATGAAACACTTGTTTGCATTCTACTTATAATTTAGACATTGCTTCATAACATAACATGCAGCCGGATTGTGAAAACGCTCGTTGTTGCATTTTTGGCATTTCATTTGATTTAATCAGAGTGTTTGATGTTTGTGTCTGTGTGTCTGTGACAAAAGACAGATACCCAGATCTGTTCAAATACAGTGATATACACAGTGATAGAATATATATTAAAACTTCTCACTCTCTCGCTCTCTGATGCAATATAATAAATGTTTCCATATATAGGAAACTAGTGCTTATATCAAGTATACTGCAATATATGCATGAACCATATCTATATATTGCTACATCTAATTTTAAATTTCTAATTTATGTT